CAGAATGACCATGAAAATGCCTAATCCTGTAAATTCCTCCTCACATAACTCCTGGTCATGCAAGAGTTTCCATGAGTCTACAGTTTGGGGGTTCTTAGTTGCATTGGCATCAGTAGTGCCTCCTCACTGGAGTTAAGACTATTTGAGTGAAGATTTATAGATTTGAACCGTAAAATGTTAGGTAATATTGCAAATAGCAAACTGAAGAAGAAGTAATGGATAAGCTAGATAATATGCAGGAACTGACAAATAATGAATTGTTTGGATAATTGGCAGACTGGGAAACGAGGGAGCAGTTAACCTTGGGGGGAAAAAAAGAAAGACAAAAGAAAATGTAATGCAGATACAAAATTACTATTCCCTTGCACATGTGAAAACAGACTTGAGAACTGAACATACAGTTTAAACAAAACCCAAGACACCGGGTTATTTGATTCACTGCAGACTTCTCGATACAGGAGCAATATATTATTGCATAATATCCACTTATAGTGAAACTTAATACATATTACTTAAGATAGAATGCAACAATTCTTACAACATAAACAACTTCTATTTTCCATATCCACTCAGTTTTTGCTAGTTTGAGTTTGGAACGGTGATATAAACAAGGCCTTTTATTTACTTCAAAACCCAGATTCAGTAAAACAAGAAAATTTACACTATAACTAGCCAACCAAGGGCCTCATTATGGAATCTGTGCAGTATATTTGTTACCTAGGAAACGAAATAGAGCACTGGTACACTGTAATTTCTGTCTTGCAATAGAATTCTCCAATCCTGCTGGTAAATAAAGTTCATAAATCAACAAATCAGAACCAAGGTCAAGTAATTTAAGATGAAGCAGTTATTCTCCATATGTCTTATAAAACACTGACTCTCTCAAGTCACTTTGCAGATATACTGAGGAATATTGAACTTAAGATATAGTTGTATTTTAAATATTTTTCATGACCAAAGTGAACCATACAGGACTGAGCATTCATTCTTATTTAAAATAACTTCATCTCCTTTCTCACCGATCTTTACCTCACACTATTTGATTTTGCAAAAAGCAACAAAACAATAGCATTTGAAAGCAAAGCCTTAGCTAGTTACACCTGAATTACTAGATACACAATAATCCAAGGGAGGATTCATTTCCATGCATGTTTCTTTGAAGTGCTTTACAAACATTAGTTAATCCAACTCACAGGGGTGATGTAAGGATAAGTATTTATTATCCTCATTTTAGAGACACAGGAATCAGAGTGACTTGCCCAACAGCATAAGGAAACCCAACGTGGAATTAGAATTAGTTCCCAGTGCTGTACTCCAAGCATCATATTATGCCTAGATGTTTAAAGGCATCTTTAAGCACCTAGATTTAAAATAGCTGGTGTGATTATATATATGGTTAAGTGGGTGTATTAATAACAATATTAAAAACAAAACAAAAGGAACAACAAGTTACTAGTGTGAGAAGTAAAGAATATTGTAAGCATTAAGAGACTGCTTTACTTTAACTCTCCAATTTACCATTTAAAATTAAATACAATACTACTCATTTTAAATGTCCATTAGACAAACATCCAGATGAGGTTTAATGCACACTTAAAGGTATATTTAATAGCTGTCAAGAGTGAAATGTTAACATAATAAACAGAATCTTAGCACTTTGCAAAGAACATATCAACAAGACATTATCATATTGTGAATATAATAAAATTATCCAGTGTTTCTGTAATCTAAAAATCAGATATAAAGAACTCCCTGGCATATGCAAAGTAGAAATTAACAATATTCAGAATTCACTGCACTGAAGACAGAAAGTTAAAAACCAACTTACCAATAACAACCAAATTAAAGAAAATGGTATAAAGGTGTTACTGTTTTCCACCAAGACTTTGATTACCCTACAGGAATCCAGCTATTTTCAAATGAATAGAAAGGTCAGTGTAACACTATTTTGATAGGAGCTGAGCTACTGACACTGCTACAAAAAACTGCACCACATCTCAGACAAGACTCATGCTGCACATAACAGTCCATTATCCACCTGAACATTTTCAGTTAATATTTAGTTTATACAATATCTCTTTGTTAATTCTCATCTCTAGAGCTTGCAGTGTGTAAAGTATGCAAATAACCAATTCAGTTTGTTCGTTTACCTTTTATAACACTTCAAAGAGCTGATAAACTTTAGCACAATACTGAAAAACAGTGTTTTGCTTAAAGCCAAAGATGGGGAAGAAGGAGGGACCCAGGTTTTTAACTCAAGATGAGAGGCAGATTCAGGGTAAAGCCAGGAGGGCGAGTAAGACTTGTTTCATTTCAGACTTAACAGAAACTTTTAAAAGGTAAGGAACAGAAGGACATAGATGTTTAAAACACATTTTGTATCTGAGGCAACTTCTTCAGGGTATTTTTGGTTCATAACAACAAAATAAAAAGAAACCAACAATCTCAACCTCTCCCCAAAATCCCACAAGGAACTTAGTGGGGATGTAATTATATTTGCACATTCTTGAGCCCACTGACATGCGTTACAGACTTGACTCTCTTCCTATTCAAGTCAATGACAAAACCCCACTAACCCTAATTTAGCAAGATCAAGTCCTGATTATCTATCATAAATCTAACTTTGGGGTATTACTAATGTTAATAATAAATATAACCAAGAAAGCTAGTGAGATACAAAAGCCAACCAAGCAAACAAGAATAACCAAACTGTCTATGATCATCATAAAACTCTACCGTCTTCTGAAATTTTTTTTAACCCGTTTGTCTACTGTCTTATGTCAGGTTCGTTTTTGTTTTGTTTTGTTTTTTAAAGAAACTAGTCATTTTCCTGTTTAGTATTATTTAATATGCAGCTAAGCACAAGGAATATTTATAGCCACTGACACCATAAATAGAAGGTGAGGTCTATCATGAATAGCACATTCATTCTTTCTGCTGGAAAGAGGTTTTGTTTTTGACTGTTGAAGCTATGTTATGGAAGGCTTGATATACTTTCCACTGCAGAATGTTTCTTTATTTTCCTTTACACTTAACTGTCTTTCCATGCTTGTTTTACAGGGTTCTGGCTTATCAATCCTGATTTGTCTTTGTGACCAGCCAAGTTTTTGGATAGGTTATATTTTTAAAGGCTTGCACTGTCTACTCATTACCAACAGTTTAATATTTCGCATTCCCTACAGGAAAGTCATTACGACCATTTGCAAGGGGCCTTTCCAACATCTGTTATGCAAGACTAGGCTAAGATAAATAGATATCAATCGCTGATGCCCTAAATATTTTTGCTTCTAAATCAATCTGTGGAAAACTCCACTCATCAAGGCATTTAAACGTGACATCCAGGCAAGCAGACATGCAGCTGTAAAGTGAGTGCCCAGTTGATCAGTCTGAAGACAAACAGCTAAATCCAGTTCAACCGCTAATAGCTTTGACATATGTTCAAGGTACCACAATTAGCATCGTGCTGTTTATCTCTAGTCCTCTAGAGAGAAGCTGTATTTTTTGTCCTAATAAAAACATGTCTAGCCTTTTCCCTGACACACACATACACCCCTCTGCGTTTACCTATCAGGATAACAAGTTGCTCACTTTCACTGAAATAAACCAGGCACAAGTGTGAGGGGGAGAGGGAGGACAAGCTTCTTTGACCGGCCCCCCTCCGAAAAGCAATTGCAAAATGCAAAATAACTTTATTTCCAAAACGTGTGTGTCAAAAAACCACCCGGGCAAGCACCAAGCCATCCCTCAGCAAAACAACCGCCTCCCCAGCGCCTCTGGGATCTTAAATAAGCTCCAGCTCAACTCCTGGAGCCTCTTGCTCTGACTTCTGCCAGCAACCCCAGCCCTGGATGGATACGAGATCAAACCCCGGCCCCCGTGCGCAGCCTCCCGGAAAGCCGGACAACTCCCCCTGCCTCTCCCCGCTAGAAACAACAAACGGCGCGGCGGGGCAGCGCGGGGAGACACAGCAGCAAGAACAAGCACGGAAAAGTTGTGTGTGTGCGTGTGCGTGTGTGTCCAGGGCACCTTCAATCCTGCAGTCCCACCGCTTGTGGAAGTGGACAGCTGGGACAGGAAGGCTTTGTACCCCGGCCCGCTTTGGTTTGGGTTAGGGGCAGGGAGCGGCTTCTTCAGGCAAGAGGTGGGAGCAGGGGGGGCAGCGTGTCTCCCCATCGGCTCACGCCGGCACCGCCTCGGGGTGCACCGCCCTCAACACCCGAGCTCCGGCGGGCAGGAGGTGCACGCGCGGCCCCTTCCCAACACATGCACACGCCGCCCTTCGTGTTACACGCGCACGCACGCATGCTTCCCCAGTGCGCGCGCACACACACACCTTTCCACCCAGCTGTAGCCTTCCCCCCCAACACGCACACACCTCTCTGTCCAGCTCCCCCGTATACACACCCCCGTACACACACGCACACCCCTCCACACACACCTCCACCATTCACACACACACATGCCCCTACACAAACACCCCTCCACCACACACATAACCCTCCACACACACACACACATCCCTCTCCACACACCCACCCCTCCACACATACCTCCGCCACACACACCTGCCCCTCCACACACACACACCGGGGACTAGAGGACAGGACCAAAGAAAGGAGAGCTGCGCTCATGCATTAAGGCACTAATGACCCGAGGAGCACACAGCCCGGGCTATAAGAAGAGCAGCGCGGCTGGAGAGCACCTCTGCTTGTGGATGTCCTTAAACCAACACCACCAAGCCCCGAGCGCACTCACAAAGAGAGACACACTGTATACAACTCCGCGTACACACGCACGCACACGCTATCCAATAACCAGCCTATCTCCCGGCCATCCACACACAAAGGGACGCGCAGTCTCCACGCCGCCCCCCCCCTCTCTTATTTCCTAGCTGCCCCAACACAAAGAGGGCTCCTGCACACACGAGCCGCACGGGTCCCCGAGCACCCCCCGGCCCCCGGGCACAAAGCGGGGCGGGCCCAGCCGCCCCCGGTACTCACCGCCCTGCAGGTGTCTGTCCATAGGAATGTGGGGTGAGGGCAGGCTGTGCTCTATGTCCCTGTATTGGATGGGGGGATGGGATGGCTAGTGGGGAGGGGGCTGTGTGCCTGTGGGGAGGGGGGAGGTGGCTCTGATCCCCTGTCCCTGGCTTCTCCCTCTGTCCTCCTCTTCCTCCACCCCCCACTTTGTGTGTGTGTGTGTGCGCGGCTCCCCCTCCTCCTCCTCCTCCTCTGCGCGGTGATATTAAATGCTCAGGGAGAGAGAGACACTGAGACACAGAGAGAGCTCGTATCAGCTACCGGAAATCGCAGCCCTGGTCATAAATATACCACAGGAAGTGTGCAATGATACACACACACACCTACTGTTACACACGCAGCCAGCCCTGCCCCCCAGCATGGACACCCCCACCGCCCACTGCTAAGCCGGGAGGGCGGGGGTGCGTGTGTGCGTATTTAGACCTCCGCCGTGTAATATCCCGCGTGTGTGCAGCTCAGGGGAGGTTGTGGTACACGCAAGAACTGACAAGACAGGCTGGAGAGGCGGCGTGCCCCGCGCCCAGACGAGACGAGGCGCCGAGGGTGGACACACGTGGGGGCCCGTGCGCAGCCCGGGGGGGCGGGCACCGTGATACAGTGTGCGTGCCCCGTGCTGTATACTGTGAGTGTCCCGTGCTATAATGTGCGTGCCCCGTGCTATAGTGTGCGTGCCCCGTGCTATACCGTGCGTGCCCCGTGCTATACTGTCCGTGCTCCGTGTTATACTGTGCGTGCCCCGTGCTATACGCCGTGCACATACCGTGCGTGCCCCGCGCTATATGCCGTGCGTGCGCTCACGCTACCAGAAGTATATGGCACGCGCTCGTAGCCCGGGATGGCGCCAGCCGCTGGGACCATCGGGGCTAAAGGGAGCAAGGGCCACCTCGGGGGCTGAAGCACCCAGATCTCCGCGCCAACAGCGCTCCCTCCGGAGCGGGCAGGCCCCACAGCAGAGGGGTGCAGGGGCCGGAGCACCGCCCCCCCGCGGACAGCTCGGCGAGGCCGGGCCTCTCCCTGGCGAGCACGCAGCGCTGGTGCTGGCGGCCAGCTGGGGACTGTCCCGCTCGGAGCAGGCCACCGGGCTCAGCGACCTCTGGAGGCGCCTTCCCGCCCCCCCTGCTTTGCTTGTGTTGCAAACGGGCTCCCGCCAGCCCGCCCCTGGCAGGAGGAAAACAAGCCCCGGGCCAGGGGCGGGCTCTCTGCAGAGGAGGGGCGAAGTGGCAGGGGCTTGGACAGCACTGGGGGGTGCTTTACTGTACGTGGTACCCCCTTCCCCTCCCCTCCTCTCCCCTCTGCCGGCCCGTGGCGCTGCATATCTCACGGAGGAGGGAGAAAGATGGAGGCACTGGAGGGAGGGAGAGGGAGGGAGCGTGTTATTCAATGGCGAGGCAATAAACAGCACGTTGAAGGCTATGTCAAGCCACTGCCCGCGTTGGAACAGCGGAGGCTGAGGAGAAGCAGCAGAGCCGGCGTCAGGGGAGCTGCAGCCGTGCCTGGCTGTTCCTCCTCTTAAAATATGTCTGGCTATGTTACCTGCGGGGTTATTATTCTTCCTATTCTAGTGTATTTGGGGGCCCTGGGCGGGAGGGGCACGGGTAGGGATGGGGGGAAGGGCTGGGAGCCTGCCCTGTCCCCAGTGCTGCCGAGCAGGACAGGAGGTGCCTTTCCTGAGGCAGTGCTGCTGCTTGCTGGAGCGGCTGGAGATTGCACCGGGGCTCCCTCCTTTCCAGCGGCCCCTGGCTCCTCCGGCCTGGCCGCCGGGGAAATAACCTCTTCAGCAGGGGAGGGAAAAGCTCGGGGGAGGGAGGGACTTGTCCCCGCTAGAGCTTTTTAAGACGTGTTAACCAGCAAGGGTTTCCGAAGGCTTGCTGTAGACAAGGTAACTGCAGTCTGGAAGCATTTGGTGGTCACAATCATCCCGAGCTGGAGAGTGATACAACTGAGAAGACATACCCAAAACTCGAGCTTTTAGTTCCAAAATGATACCTTTTACTAGACCAACTGGGAAATCTCAAGAAAATTGTCCTTTTCTGCAAGCTTTTGGGATCAAAGTCCCTTCGTCAGGCTCTGGGAAAAGTAGAGATGGTACAAGATGGTAAACAATCCCCATAGGTAGGAAATAAACTTCAGAGAGGGAGCCGAAGATGGAAGCCTGCCTCCCTCTGGGTCTCTGTGAGCTCTTTGATGTGTAGATTAGGTAGAGTTCCTTCCCTGGAGGTGTCGGCAGGCAGGGAGGTAAAACCTCTTTCTTGTTGTTCTGCCATGAAGTTTAAAATCCAAAATCAGCTAAAAACTGAAAAGACATATAACTGAGAAGACATGTATTAGATGTATGTCCTGCCCTTCCTCACAAAGGCTCAGGATGGCTTACAGAAGAGAGCAACACAACTTCTAAAACAGAGAAAAAAGCCAGGAGAAAGAAATTAACATCAAAAAGCCAATGAGGCAGTCAAATTGAGCAAAACTCCCCTATACCCTCAGTTTAGGGTTGCCAGCTAAACACCTGCTCAAATGGAAGGTCTCTGAGCGCTCCTGGAAGATGTCCCAGCCCGGCTCTGGTGGGCTGCCAGAGGCAGAGAGGTCCAGAGCTGAGGTGTGACTGCTGGCAATAGCATCCATCCTACACCTTTTTCGCCAAATAAACTTGCAGGAAGTTACTCTTGGTATGTCTGTGGACATAAAAGTGATTGCAGTGTAACATAGGCATAGGCACAGTAGCTTTAAACTAGCTAGACTATATACCAGTCACAGCTTAGCCCAGCAGCGCCAGACTCAATGAAACAGCCTGAGCACTGTGCTGCTTGTGGCTACACTGATACCACCAAGCTCGCTACAATAAAGCAAGTCAAGATATGTCTACACCAAGCTAGTCACTGCAGGTTTACCATGATCTGCTAGCAGCTGTTATAACCGCAACTGACTTGGCCAACACTAGGTGTGTAACATATATTAGCTAAATAAATTGTGTATATGTTAAAAATGCTCCTTTGAGCATTGCATCCATCCATCCTTGAGGCTACATCCTTGGAGGTTTTCAAAACCCCACTAGACAAAGCTTTGGCTGGGATGATCTAGTAGGGGATGGTCCTGCTTTGAGCAGGGAGTTGGACTAAATGACCTCCCGAGGTCCCTTCCAACCCTAACTTTCTATGATTCTATGATTTTTTTTCCCAGCAAAACCAAGGCAGCTTGCCTCTGTGTGTATATGTAGAACTCATAAGCATTTCCTAGTTAGCATACAAAAATTGAAATGAATCCAGATTAAGCATGCCTAATCTCCAATCCTGGAATTAGAGTCACTGACATCAGTTGAACTACTTGCATAAGTGAGGGTCACAGAATATGATCCTAAGATCCAGTCATAGATCATTTCATTGACTTTTGAATGCACAGAACTTTAAGCGCAGGATTTAGAGCCACTGCAAACATATAGATTACTCATATGCTTAAAGTTTGTATGTGTTTAAGTACTTTATAGACTCAAAACTTGATGACTGAGAAAACTGTAAAAGGACACTCATGGATTTTCCTAACCCACCCTGCCCCAGGAAAACCAACATGGAGTAGCACGTAGCCCACGAAGTTCTTTGTTTGAAAATTTTGTACTATACCTACCGAGAGAATATTCCCTCTAATTGCTGTAAATAAAAACAAACATGCTTTGGATTTGTGATTACACACATTCATGAAAATGTGTGAACATGTTCAAGGTAGGATCATAGTTTTATTTAATTTATCTTAAGAAATCAGGACTGAAATGCAAGGAGAAATGGTAATGTAAGATTATTTTTGACATTGTTAAGGTACACAAGTAAAGAATGGAGTTTTCCAAAGCTAAGGAACCAGATTCTCAGCAGATGTAAATTGGTATAGTTTCATTTATTTCAAATGAAGTTACGTTAATTTATGTCAGTTAAGCATCTGGCCAATGGTTCCCAAAGCAAATGCTACTTGGTCATTGAGCATATGTATAAATACCTACAAAACCAAACTGAGTGCAGCTGCACTGAGTGCAAGATGACTAGGGCACAGTCCTAAACCAGCAGCAGTGTGGTTATGTTTGTTGTGTAGAAGCCAATTAACTTTATTCCTAACAGAGCTAAGTCATCCACTCTGTGCTGCAATAACTTAGAGGATGGCTCAGGAGTTAGTGTATACCGTGTGTCTGAGCACAGCACACTTTGTACAGGAGGGGGCACCAGGGGTGCACTCAAGGGGCAAGTACCACATACTGCACCTCAGGGGTATAGGTTGTAGTCATGTTGGTCTAAGGACATAGGCCGACAAGGTTATTTGGGTAAATATGGTATCTTTTATTAGACCAAGGAAAATAGTTCATAGATTCATAGATGTTAGGGTCGGAAGGGACCTCAATAGATCATCGAGTCTGACCCCCTGCATAGGCAGGAAAG